AGCTCTACACCTTGTTATCTCAGATTTTCCAGCATCTGCAGTTCCTACTATCACAAATAAAATGCTGTTTTAATCTCAACAAAGTGAATAATAAGAACTTTGTAGATAATAAAACATAGCAATAATGATCACTAAATTACATTTTCAAATGCAACTACTTACTCCATGATTTACAGAATCCCCTTGGTTATCATGTTCTCTATTTACTGAGTCTCTGGTCATTCGGGGTGGTTTCCAGCTTCTTTCTTGTGTTCCCTTGTTGTAGTAGTAAAATCGTCCTGTTGCATCTTTGTGCACCTCCCATTCACCATGGATTTGCCTGGGAGGGCTAGTGGGAATTGGGGGTAGGTGCGCTAGAGTTATTTTCAAATCTTGCAAATTTGCATACACTGGAGACTCTGGTCTTGCAGGTGGCATTGTCTGCAAAAGTTAAAGCAATATCTTTTAATGAATAAACGATAATTTGAATTACCTATACAACTCGATATATGATCCTACTTAGGATCTATATAACAGGAATAAAAAAAACATTTGTTTGCCATTTCTTTTCAGTTTGATTATTAAGCAATTTTCCTGCTCTCAACATTTTATCAATTAAAATCAATATTATAGTAGTAAAAATAGCAAGCCACAATTCTCATATTAAACATAAACATCCACCCAGATAAGAAACCTTGTTCCAATATTTGTTTTGGCATCTGGGTGATTTTAAAGATTCCACTTCACCACAGCAAAGGACTGAAACTATACCTTTCCACTTGAGGTACTAATTCGCATTAAACCAGGCAAGGAACCACAACACAACTGCTATTGCTGCAGGATGTAAATAAGGCTTTTGCAGATCTGCTGATCTCTGGCTGCTTTTTTCCGCCCCCCCAAAGAAGGCATCTATGTATTATAATAATGATTAATTTGAACTAGTGATTTTCTACAGCTATAACTCAAACGGCAGACTTTGTCATCAAGATGTTGGTGAGCTAACAGTGCCCACCTTTACTTATGCATAACTAGAGCAATTTTACGCATGTGACTGATGTACAATTAGACATGGATAACCAGATGCTGATCTTACACAAATTGTTTGATTATCCCGCTTCACCACTGAAATGCACTGACTGGCACACACAGGCAGAAGTAGGTACCATCCACAAAAAAAAACTACAGCAGTAGTGTTCAGGGATGTGTAAACTCTCCAAGCCTCCTTCGAAAGCATTTTTCAACTCTCTAACTTCTACCACCCAGAAAAACAAGAACAGCAGACAGAGGAGCCTGACCAGCTTCAAGTTCTCCTCCAAGACACACAATAACCTGATCTAGAACAATATCACCATTACTTCATTGTCACTGGTACAAAAGCCTTGAACTCTGTTCCTAACAGCACTCACACCATATCAAGTACAGTGGTTCTCTGTCACCTACAAAGTACATTCTAATTTGTACTCCATTCTCAGTCTTTGTACTGTTAACTGCAGTATTCTCCATTCTGATCAGTTAGAGATACACTGACACTTGTTCTTCTCATTTAGGTCCGCAATTCACTACTTGCCTCACTGAGCTATTAGTTCATGTAAAAAAAAGAGAAAAACCTAAAACGTGTAAGGCCAAGGCTAACTCATGCAAACACTGTTGAATGGTCCGAGGCTGCAAATTATAATCAATAGGGATTATGTGGAAGGATTTTGTCATGAGTAGAGATAGAGGCTTTCCTACAAACTTTAATCAATTTAGCAAACTTCTAGCCAACAGCAATCAGACATACACACCATAAAAGGAAGTCTGAGTATTTGAAAGTTGTACACATACTAAGCCTTAAAAATAACTAGTCACGAGCAGGTAGCTAACTCTTTATATTTGATAATGAAATGTCAAAATTAAACAAACAGTTTTAGTAATTTAACAATAGTACTGACTCAGAGGAAACTTTAGATGATACTGAACAGAAACCATAAAAGGCAACTTAAGTTAGCAGCAAGTGAATTTTTTTTTGTTGAAACAGCTAGTAATCAGCTAATTACTAACGCCAGAGACAGAGATTTTGGAAAAGGCAAAAAAAAAGACTGCAGGTGTTGGAAATTAGAAATAAATCAGAAATTGCTGGGAAAACTCAGGTCTGGCAGAGTTAATGTTTCAGGTCCAGTGACCCGTCTACAGACCTGAAACGTTAACTCTGCTTTCTCGCCACAGATGCTCCCGGACCTGCTGAGTTTTTCTAGCAATTTCTGATTTGATTTTGGAAAATGAACTTGCTTGACAGAATGCCTGCAGTGAGCAAAACAGAACTCCATTTAAATGATGTCCAAATTAATAGCTGTACCAGTGAACATCACTTTAACTACAGATAAAGACAGCATTCATGCTAAATTTACTGTGAGGTATTTTAAAATTTAGAAGAAGGCATTTTCATTAATCGCAACACATTGCGGATCCACTTGGCTAATAACTCAAAATTTTATGTACAACTATCTTTCATAGAGCACCTCTGACATTTGTTCACAGTTCCCAATGAATTCAAAAGATTGAACTCAGGCAAATATTAGAATCGATGATGAAAAATTTGATCAGTGGTACATTTTTGAGGAATGCTTTAAAAGGGTGAGGAAGCGGGGAATGAAACTTAGAAGCAGAGGAAGACACAGCTAACGATGGTAGGAAAATAGCAAAATGTATAACAGAGCTAAATTTGAGGAATAAGGCCAGGGAAGGAGTTGAACATGAAAATCATCTTCAGACCTGTGAATACAGAGCTATGAAAAGGGCATTGGTAAGGTTAACTTTTTGGAAGTAAGAATGCAATTGCAACATTCAAACCACAAAATTAAAATTTCCTTTTATTGTTTCATCAACAGCGTGCAGAAAATAATCTTTGACAACAACAGTGACACAACAACAAATGTTGCAACGGAAATACTTAGATATGTTCACTTTACAAGTGGTGCAAGGTGGGGCTGTGCTGGGAGGGAGGGAAAGCGACAGGGCAGCACAGTGGCTAAGTGGTTAGCACTGCTGCCTCACAGCACCAGGGACCTGGGTTCGATTCCACCCTCTGGTGACTGTATGTGTGGAGTCTGCATGTTTTCCCCATGTCTGTGTGGGTTTCCTCCAGGTGCTCCAGTTTCTTCTCAGTTCAAAGATGTGCAGATTAGGTGGATTTGCCATTCTGAATTGCTTGTAGTGTCCTGGGATGTATAGGTTGGGTGGGTTGGCTATGGTGGTTACAGGGATGGGGGGGAAGAGACTGGGTGGGATGCTCTTTGGTGGGGTCGGTCTGGACTCGATGGGCCAAATGGCTTGCTTCCGCGCTGTAGGGATTCTAAGTTAAATTGTCCAAGCTCTTTATTTCCGATCTGTAGTTGTAGTACAGCTAAGTTAAACTTGCTCAAATAGCAAACAATGCGTCAAGGTGGAATTTCAACTGATTACAATTTAAATAACACTGGTGTTTCATTACCACTATTTTACAAGTGAAACATATTCAAAGTTAACATTTCAACAAACTTCCAGACTACTTCCACACAAAACCAAGCTTATAAATTCTGAATAGGTATGTTGCAATTCTACCAATATTGCAATATTGTAAGGACTACAAATATTTCCTTGGAATGTAAACTGCAAAAATTAAGAATTAATTTCTTTTACAACTCAAGTGAAAAGTGGGAATATTTACACAAGTTCATGTAACTTTTGCAGAAGCTAGATTTCATTGAGTGATCCCTTGGCATCAAGTGTCTTTGGACTTCAAAAGAACTATCTAACTTCATAAAAACAAAAAGAACTGTGGATGCTGTAAATCAGGAACAAAAACAAAGTTGCTGGAAAAGCTCAGCAGGTCTGGCAGCATCTGTGAAGGAGAAAACAAGAGTTAACGTTTCAGGTCTAGTGACCCTTCCTCAGAACTAACTTTATAGTTAAGTTGCAAATTATCACTGAATTGAGAAAAAGGTACTGTGGTAGTTAGGCCTCCAGAAAGCCTACGAGCCAAGATAAGGGTCTCACACTCTCTGACCGAAAAAAAAAACAGCATTTAAAGACTCTGGAAACAAAACTTCTCACTCAACCAAGACCAAGGTCCAACTGACCACCTACCAGACTGAGGATCCTCTGTGGCTTTCAATGTGAAATCATCATTAGAAACCAAAAAAAAGCTGAGAAAGTTATATCATCTAACCTTGTGCGATAGACACTGGATTCACAGAATTTGTTCCTTCTTGCCTATGTTTTCCACTAATGATATTTTTGCAGAACTGCCTGTCCTATTTGTGAATGATATTTAAAAGCAACGTAGTTTAAGTCTGTAGCAATTAGTTATGTTACAAAATATTAAAGGACACATTTGTTATAATAAATGCATTTTATCTTCTTGTTTATTGATGAAAACTGGAGAGAGTTTCTTTTATCTTAGTGGTCAAAAATCAGGCAAATTTACCAGCTTAGTGTATAAATTAGTCATTCATGCATTTGTGATGACTCATGGAATAGTAGGGCTTGAAATTCAGTGCAATCTTCCTGACAAAAGTTTTGGGGGCAGGCTTGGTGCAAGACTTTTGAATGCAGACAATGTGAGATTAGATCTGGAGTAAGATCATTAGTAAAAGGATAAAAGGGGCAAATAACCATTTTTCTTGTAATGTAAAATAAGACGGCAACAAAAACAAAATCCTACAGAGGTAATACCCTAATTTTGTTTTGCAAGAAATGACTACGGTTAAGGCCATAGAATTGACAAATGAGTTGAAGATGGAATTTCATGCAAAAGCTTAGAATATAGACATAATTGAAAAATTAGCAGTCATTTCAAATTAATGGAAACACAAGAGAGACGAGGTAGACAAAACAATGACTCACAGAGATGGCTAGAAGTGAGTTACAGTTACAGAAGCTTGAATATGAAAGACAAATTAGGCAGAGAGAGGGGAGAGGACATCGAAATGGATAGAGATGCAGATTTAACAAAAAAGTAAACTTTTGGGGAAAAAGGAGACAAACAGCATTTAAGCTGCTGGTACAAGAGATTCAGGGGTGAGAAAAAGATGAGAAAGGGATTTGAGAAAAGAATACCAGCTTAACAGGCCACCTCCGATGCAGGAGGTGGTTCTGATTAAGAAAATTCTGTCCATATTCTAAAGTTCAGTAAGGCACTACTTAAAATTTGTATAATGCCCACCAAAATTTGAGGAAGAGTATGCGGTGCTATTTTTTAATGTCATTGAGAAAAGGGCAGTAAAACAAATGAAATGGCCAAAGGGAAACTGGACATTAGCAGATGTTGCTGGAAAAACTCAAAAATCAGCAGGTAACGTTTCGGGTCTGGTGACTCTTCCTCACAACATTCTCAGGAGTTCTGAGGAAGGGTCACTGGACCCAAAACACTAACTCTGATTTTTCTTTGCAGATGCTGCCAGACCTGCTGAGCTTTTCCAGCC